CACGGTCCTACAGAATGCTTAGAGCACAGACATATTCCCACAGTAATGAGTCTGACAGTTCCACTCTCCTTCTCCTCACCTTTATCTCCCTCGCTCTCCCCTTGGCTCGGAACACTCAGAGCTCTCCTTTTATCTGAAGTGGTGATTTACAAACACAGACGAGTCTACAGACCGCGACTTGGCTGTTTTTTGCCAGTCCGACCAGCCAGCTGGTACAAATTAAGAATGTGTGTGTGTGTGAGTGTCTGTGCATCTGTGTGTTTGTGTGTGTGAGACAGTTAAGATGTTGAACTCATCTCCAGTGCTACAGACTCTCTTCTGCGGAAGGCGAGACTTGTTCCATGGTAAATAAAAAACTTCTCAAAATTTGACATAACCTGGAATTTGATACTTTTCTGTTATGTCTTTGTTCAGTGTTTTAAAATAGTAGCAGGCATTTTACGTTACTAAATAAACATAGTTATTGTAACTATTTTTTTTGTAAGGGCTATGTAATGATTTAAATTTTGAATCAGATTAATATCAAATAATTGTGATTAATCACAATCATAATTGAGCAGAAGTAAAATCTGGAAGTCCATCAAAAAAAATCTAAACTTTGAATTTTAGCAGGTCCACTTTGACCACGTCTACAGGTATAAATGCTAAATAACTGACCTTTTTAGGTACTGTGGAACTTCAAAGATTTTTCATGTTAAATCTAGATTAAATATTTAAACAGGCTAACGAAGGACCCACTAAAGTCACACTCTTGCTGGTTTTTGTTAAGGCGGTGACATGCAGGATTTCTTTTTTGCAAAAAACAAACAAACAATCATATAGGGTATCGCTGTTGTTGCTGCAGTCACACTCGACCGGGGGTTTCAACCGCCTTTGTATTCTGTGCAATCGTAGCCATATGTTGTGATCTTGCACTGCTGTGTAAAATGATCAGGTTTTGTTACTTAACCTGTGATAAAGTGAGAGCTATAAATGTTTCTTGGCTCCTGTCCCTCTGTTCTCAGCACATTAATCAATGCTCATGCCTTTTAACATCCTCCGGGTCTCACTGTTGAGAATGCACTTACCTCACTCCTTGAATAACATCTGATCACAGGTCACATGGGACAGGGATTTATGTGCAGTGTCTGAGCAGCCTGTTAAAATGTGGCGCTCTTCCTAAATGTACAGTAGAAACAAGGTTTCCCCCAAATATTCTCACCTAATTCTGAACTCTTGATGGTGACAGACATTTAACAGATTTTTCACTTCTAGTGAAAACATTAATGCTCTGTCATGTTGTGAGCCACAACCAGTTCTCGTTATTATATTACAAACGGCCCTGCGATTAGAGAAAACATTCCAAAACTTTATCTGTGTCCCAGCCTCAGGCTTTTATTTGCTCTTCTTCAAATAAGAACACTTTTTTCACCCATTTATTACATGGCACTGCTGTTGTTATAAAAACTTAGTGGGTATAATCAGAGTACTCTCAGAATGATTTTTTCATTTTCATTATTTTTATTGCAACAAGCTCAATTTATTATTACAAATGCTATGCAACATGAAGGCCTTGCTTGCAGCTGTCAGATCTGAAGATTTCTGTCAGCAGGATTCTGAAATAATTTGACCTTAGACTTATTTTTAATGTATTTACTTGACTTGTCTTTGCATAAAAAAAAAAAACCCCCAAGAGTTATAAATGTCAGCAGCTTATAATTTCCCAAGGAAATCAAGTCTGTCCTTGTAAAATTTAACTGGCGTGTGGGCGGGTGGGGGGGCATTTCTAATTTAAAGTGAGCTGTGTGTTAGGTTTTTGACTTAGGACAGTGATTGAAATTTTGTGGAGATGTAATTGCCTTTCAACATGTGTTTTAATGTGCTAAAATATTTTACAAGCCCACAAATAGAGTGTTAGATATTATTCTTGGTGGCGGCTGCCATTCTGGGCCACCACCCTGGAACCACCGCTCACCATTGGACAATTCAATTAGTGTTGAAACTGCATTCAATGTAATTTGCAAGGACTTGGACTGAAGCCCACAGACCATCAGGGTAGGTTAAACAAGCACACCAAGGACAGGGAATCAAGAGTTCTCTCTCACCCAGCAGAATAAATATCACTGTGTTGCCATCCCATTGTCAGGAGGTTGGAGGAAGTGCTGTGAGCCAAGGCAGACCTGTGAACCACCCCCTGATGGTGTGATGCTTTTGAGGGGTGTTTGCATTTGAGGGGCAGAGGTTCTGGCAGCGTTTGTCAGCCTCAAACAGTAGGCTGTTAGAAAAACACCCCCGCAGCTGTGGGGGAGGAAAGGATGAGAGGAGGATGGGTGTGGAAGAAGGTGTACACGGTGCCACCTGTGTTTACATGAATAAGTCATCAGTTTGCACATGGAAATGGTTTTGTCACCTGCCACACCAGAGAAGGGACGGCAGTGGAAACAGTTCCTCTCCACTTGGAGTCATTAGCAGAACGGCAGTCCCTTGAAAGCATATTGGCCAATTAAGTCATCCAGGCAGAATGTTGTGGAAGGAAAGTCAGCGTTAGTTGGATGGCAGTATAATGTCATAATTGTAGTTTAATTTTGTTTTTACTTTTTTTCTTTGTGTTTTTTTTTTTTAAAATTTTGTTTTTACTTTTTTTCATTGTGTTTTTTTTTTTTAGGGCTGTCACAATTAATGACTTCATGTTTATTAATATGCAAAAATAATCAGAATACAGACATTAACACATTAATGCTTGGCCAGAATAACGCCCACTATGTATTATTATTCAGTTATTAATACAAACAATTTTTTTTTTAGTTTCTCCGAGGAACCTCTAACTAGTTCCACCTTAACGCCATCATGTGTCAGTCTGAGATCAGGACAGTGAGTGAGTCAAGCCAGGACAACAGATCCACCAAAGGGTTCAAAGTCAACTAGTCACGTCTTCGACAAGCTACTGCCACAACGCAATGACTAAAATCCACAAACTACATGGAATGTGATTGGTGAAAAGTAGATTTTTCTCTAAATCTTGATTAATCCTGACTAATTACATCACAATTATTATCAAAAATCCCGACTAATTACAACTTGATTAATCTCGATTAATCATGACTAACTACATCTCGATTAATCATGATTTATTAACAGCTACCCTGTATTTGTTCAGATCAAACATTTACCTCGTTTAACGGTCTTTGTTTTTATTACGCTAAGGCGATGTGTACTGACATAAATGATGATTAAAATGTATCTCCGCAGAGGTCGAGTGGGGCCAGAGGAAATTCTGAAGGCAATCGATCTCAGGTGTTCTGCACCTGCATTTTCGATTTGTGCCGACTCAGCTCGTTCTCAGCAGAAAGGTCATGTCAACAAATCCAGGGGACAGATATATGGACAGATAGCTGGTGTGGCCAGTTTTCCACGTTGGCAGGATCTGACAGTAGCCTCTCCAGCAAAACTCTCACGTTACCGGTGTCTCATTTCACTAGCTCAGGGCAACGGGCGAAACTGGCTGTGTCCTTGTGTATCTGCCCTCGCTCCCCTTTGTCTGTGTTTATCTATTGCTCTCAGTAATCTTTCACCATCTATCACTCTTACTCGTCTGTAGGCCTGACACTATTCCTGGGAGCAGTTCGTGGATGCAGTGTTGATGCTTGGGGTTCAATTTCCTCCACAAATCAAGATGAAATAAGCAGTCACAAAATGAATGATACCTATGACTGACGAGCCGAATCTCCTCCTTATTTTAACAGGGGTTATGAAAAGATACACCCTTGGCGTAGTTAAGTCTTTTTGTTTTAGCTTGGATTACTGTTTGTTTAATTGCAGCCGGGCCCAAGGTGGTCCTCTGTGAAAACACCGGCTAAGTTCAGGTAACGCTGTGATGTCAGCATGAGCGAGATGGTGTTTTTGGCAAGACGTGCCTCCTTAAAATCTCTTCACTCAGCCAGGTTGAGGGTTCAGTGACAGACAGGTAGCGTGAAAAATAGAAACCGGGGGGTGAGGGCTTGGGAGGGTGTCGTCATAGCTTGTTAAGGTATTTTGCTTTGCTTTCAACCTTTCAAACGCCGTGGTCTGAGGCTGTGGTCACGCCAGAATTGGCGCAGGGAAAATGAGTTAAACATTGTGGTTGAAAGCAAGAGGAGACTGGTGTTAAAGTCGAAATGGTTGGTTAACCTTTCTAAATCTTGTTTTCTTTTTTTTTCTAGCAGCTTTTAATGCAGCATGTTAAATTTTGTAATAACAGAGAGAGCTTCAGACTTAAGTAGTGGTGAACACAGTAGACTGGAGTCCAAATCTGACTTTACACCAGTAGGAGTTGAGTTCAGCTCGACATTTGGGAATATTTAGCAAGGTCAGGATAGTCCGATCCAAGTTAAGGATGAATAATTATAAGTGTGCCTGATTTTAATTTTATATCATCTGTATTTTATTTTCTCTAGACGTGTCAGTCCAAGGTGTTAGACCTGTCGGACGGAGTGTCCCAGTACGCTTGGTATCCCTGCCGTGATTCCCATGGTTCAGCCTTGGGATATCGCAGCTACTGGCTGAAGGTAGGCCACAATTCTGTTTAATGGAATAATGTAATCATTTTAATGTTTTAGCATTGATTTGGAATCTTATTAGCAAAACAGACATTTTCAGATGTCAAGACTCCATCTATTGGATTAGTTCTGGTTTTGGCAAAGTTCATCGTTCCTGAACTGTCTCGATTACCCAAAGTCTTTGGCAATTTTCATAGTGCATGTTGGGAAAAAATAAAGATTTCTTTGATCAATGATCATGTAATTCTTGGTTTCATTAATTGTTTCTTTCCAAATTGTAATTTCTTTATTCAAAGAGCTGCTGAGCGACCGTCATATTCAGTCTTTTCTAACACAATATAATGTCTTCTTAAGCCATGAGAAGCCGGTCATGTCACTGTGTTATTTCATTAGTCTTGTTCACGTCACATCTTAATGGCTTCTCATTATAAATTCACACAGTTTTGAGGATTTTGACTTTTTATTTGTTGTTCTGCTCCATTCAGGCCTACTTTTCTCACCCAATGGTGGCAGCAGCAGTAATCATACACCTGGCTGCTGATGGCACATACCTAATGGATCAGACCCAGTGTAATATTACTGTTCAGCTGGTGGACACCAAGGAAGGCATTCACAGTCTGGGTAAGGCAGTTGGTTTTTATTATCTTTAAATGTCGTTGATCTTGATGTTTTCTGCAGTACAGAAATCCACAACCATGAGAAAAACACTAGTTGGTGGACCATCCAAAAAGAGAAGGAAAAATAGTTCTCCTGTTTAAAAATAATAAAGGCTATCAGGGGTAAAAAAACAAACAATTTATTCGTCTAATGACGTTTTGGCTAACCGCATTCATCCCACGAGCCACCAGTTAATGAGCACTGACTTATATTTTGCTTTTCAGTTCTCTGGATTCAGGTTGTCAACTATCCTATGATGCCTGGCTAAGAGGCTACAGAACCATCTGTATAATTAGCCAAGCTTCCTGAGTCACAACAATCAACACAATTTATTCAATTCTCCATCCATCCTACAGGCGAGTGGCGTCTCAGCTGCCGTAACAACCCTCTGGTGGTCCCCGTCAACCACGACCTTTCGGTGGCCTTCTACCACACCAAGGCGATCCTGGTCATGTTTACCTCCCACCGGGTGGCCATCTCGGGTGTAGGTCTGCGCTCCTTCCAGTCGTTTGACCCCATCACGATAAGTGGCTGCCAGAGCAATGAGATCTACAACCCCACAGGACAGAGGTGAGAGAAAGATTGTAATGATAGAAACGGTAAAAGTGAAGATTAAAATCAAACGTACATCCACCAGACGACATGCGGGAACAGCGACGTAATTTAAGTGTAACAGAAGAGACGATGCTGAAAGATTTCCGGTTCTGTGTCTACATTTAAGCATGGGAGAGGGAGCCCTGCATTGATGAGTGATGCCAAGGAGCTGCATAATGTTAGATGTCTGCCCCAAAATTACAGCGGAACTTTAAAACATTAAAATTTACAATCATCTTGGACCTCTTACTGCCAGCACTGCAGCCAGACTGCCTCCAAGGATAATCTCGCTTACCTTCTATTGTGTGCACCAAAATGCATACTGTTAAAAATAAGCCCCTAAAATCCTGCTGACACAGACGGCAACAGTGTTTTCAATAGTAATTCAATGTGACAAGTGGTAGATTTATTTTTATTTTTTTCCAGCTGAATAAAAAAAGGAATCGCACCCAGCCTTGGAGCCAGATTATAAAATGAACAAATTGACCCAACACGCCCTAGAAGGATTTTGACGACATCTTTAACAACTGCTGGCGAAGCCACCAAGAGATGTTAACACCTATCCAGCTATAAACTCCCAACGTTCGGTCTCCACTGCCTCTCTTTTTAGGCACAATCCATGTGATGTCAGATTTTTCACACACACACACACACACACACACCGACGTAGACTAAGTGTGGATAATGGAGGGTCATGCAGTTTGTTGCATTTGACTGTGAGCCAATGAGACGACTGTTATAATTGGTTCATCTTAATAACTCGGCAACTTTAACGTAATATTCGGAGGCTTTCAAAACTATCGTCATTGGAACTCCTCCCGGCCAATTATGATCAGAAATTTACACTTGAAGACATTAGCGGCAGAATATTTTACTATGATACTGCGAACATTTTCTATTTTCTCCCTGCTCTGCCTTTACATCTGGACCGAATTCCGGTTGATTCCATCTTTCATCTCCTCTCGTTTCTCTCTCTTTTTTGAAATCACCTCCAAAAATCCTGATCTGCTCTTTGTCAAATTCCACTTTGATTTTATTCATCACGTCTGCCCAGTTTGCCTCTTCACTTCCTCTTCATTCCCTCATTTAATCATATCCTTTATGCCCGTCATTCTTTAGCCCGGTATCATCTTCCTTCCCTCACGCTGCTGGCATCTCCGTCTTTCTCCACTCTTCCCTTGCTGTGCCTCCTACTCCTGGTTTCCCTCTTCTCCTTCTCTTGGGCTGAGCAGCACATTTCCCGTAATGCTTGTTCCTCCTCGAAACACCACATCCCACTTTCCCTGAGTTGTTAACGGGAGCTTTTAACATGAATCAGTCTCCTCTCTGTTATTCTTGTTGATACCACACGTACGTATTACTGCAAGTCTTATTCATCCCCATATACGTGTGTGTGTGTGTGTATATATATATATATATATATATATATATATATATATACACACACCGTGTGTTAAACTGTACCTAAACGTGCCATGGAGGAGGACAGACTTCCAGGTAGTTAACTGTAATTTATGTCAGAAATTCCAATGTGACAAGCAGAAAACCACAAAGAGATTTGGTTGCAAGCCCATTTGTCCAAATAGGAGGCTCCGAGGCCTTGTCCTCAAAAAGTCCCAAACATGAAGAATTGTTTTTTAAGGTGAAATAACAGGAAGGCTGCCAGCTCTGCTCATGGCATCCTGTCCATCACTGTTAGATGTATTTAAAAAAGAGATTTTATTTGATTTTGAGTTTAGTTTGTTTTGGTTTATCAGCAGGTTTCTGTCATAGTCGGAGAGATTAAAAAAAAAAGAAACTTATTAGAATCAACGTCGAGAGAAAAGAATAGGAAAGACAAATTAGAAGAAATTCAAAACGTCACTTCTTTTTTAACCACCGTTTCCTGGACCTGTAACTTCGTATACGTCCCCCCTCCCCACGCTTCTTTTTTAGTCGGCTTCATAAGGTAACCTTATACTGTAGTGAATTTTGACTGTTGAAAAAAGCCGCCTTGGGCATCCAAACATTCCAAAAGCATCAAAAGCCTCCTGTATCAGTGGACGGACTCAGAGTGATGGCCCAGCTCTGCTTTTGTTTCCTCTGCACAATAAATCCTGTCGCTCTTTATTCTACAGCACACACACACACGCATGCACACACACACACACACACACACACACACACATCCGGCATGTGCACAGCCTTCTCCATGTGGTTTATTGATTGATATGTTAAACAGTCATTGATGGATGGATGCTGGTGACGTAGTGCGTAGGATTTCACTATGTGATGTGTCTGCAGTGTTCTCTCTTCCACTTAATTTATTCAGGTTGTAACTCTAATTGTGTTATTTTCTCCCTTTTTCTTCTGACCCATCTCCTGCTCCGTACACACATGTGCACGCTCCCACATAGTTGTGTGCATTATTCTTGTGAAGCCATCGACTGCCAGGAACCTATAATCCGCAATGCAGAGCTGAAGTGTAATAGTCTCGGCCGCCATTTCTACAACGGGGACCGCTGCACCATATCCTGCAACTCTGGATACGTCCTGCAAGTCCACCAGGATGATGACATCATCAAGAGCCAGGTACAGACTTTGCCACGGAGGCAGCCGATGGGGGCAAATACTGTTGATGCACGAATGCAATCAGTGCAGTGCAGTGCACTGCACCGGCACACGTGACAGGGGCAGGTGTGAAGGTGCGTGCAGAAAGATGAATTCTAGACGCACACATGAACACACACGCAGCGATGCAAACTCGAGCACACACCACGGCCATGAGAGAATAGTGCTCTCTCAGCGCTGCTGCCTCTGTCTCAGCATATTCTGTCACCGGCAACAAGTAGGCTCGGCATGGCAAGTCTCCTGGGAGGATGACATCATGAACATCCAGGTAGAAACATGCTGCACCGAGGAGAGGAAACCATGAGAGAGAAGGGGGAGGAGAGGGGACCAAAGGAGACTACAGAGGAGAGCGGAGGAAGGGGGGAGGATAGGAGAGAAAAAGGGGAAGGAGAGGAGAGGTAAGGAGAAAAGGGGTGGTGGGGGGAGATGGATGGAAAGAAATTATAAAGGAGGACAGGAGAGAAAATGGGAAAGAGAGGAAAGGATGGGGAAAAGAGCGGTGAGGAAGGGGGAGGGAAAAGGGGGAGATGAGAGGAGCAGAGGAGAAAATTGAAGAGGAGAGGAAGTGAAAGGAAAGGAGAGGAGAAAAGAGGAGAGGAGAGGTGAGGAGAGGAGCCCTAGCCTTCTTCTTCTTCTCCTCCTCCTCTTGCCACACACACACACACACAGACATAATAGTGTTTAGTCTCTTGCTGAGCATGCCGCACCATCACCTCAAACAGTCACTTTGTATCGCTACTCCACTGGGACGATGACATCATTGCATAGTGTCTGCTCCCACTCTCCCTCTCCGCCTCCCTCCCCCTCTCCCTCTCCCTCCCTGCCTTCCTCCCTCTCTCTTCCCTTCTCTCCCTACTTCTCGGCTCATTTTGTGCACATTGAATTCGCTGTTATAGGGCAGATTTGCTACTGTTTTCTTCTCAGAAAAGCATCGAATAAATGCAAAAAAAGGAAAAAAAAGGGACCTCCAATAACATTGAAAAATCAACAAAAATGTAGAAACAAAAATAGCATGATCACTGCAGGAAAACAGTCATTGAACATTGAACAGGGAGTAGAAGACAATCCAATAAGACTTCCTGGAGATCGGAGAGGTTGAATCGAATTTTTCTCCAAAAAAGTTCCCTCTTCCCCATGTCTTACTGCGTTAACTGTGAGCTGAGATACAGTATAAACCTATGCTTTTGGTCGTTAATTTGGTTTTAATATCGCAGCTGATTGGTTTACTAAACAGTGTGTGCAGACGTAGTTGTGTGTGAGGATATGAGTAATGAAGCAAAAATTTAAGACGAGGGAGGAAATGACAGGAAATATTTCACAGAATAAAAGAGCGTTTGGCGTTTGCTCAGACTCCTGACGTGTTCTTCCTCCCATCCTTCCCATGTTTGTTGCTGGGATCTGTAACTCGGTGTAATTGGAGCATTTCTACGACCGCAAAATGCTTCAGCCGCGCCGCTTTCTTCCACTAAATGTAAATACTTACACATGTACTGTATATTGTCATAGAAACAGGCCTAATTATACTATATGTACACAAGGTCTGCTAAACATATATACACAGTGTGGTTAGCGACACCTCAAGTTGTGGCTTCCAAATCCTGTTTGGCCCCAGACTTTGAACGCTGGCTGCTGATGCCGTCTCAACACAGACAACTGAGAAAACAAACAAAAAAAATGTCAATGTGGAAAAAAAAACAAAAACATCAAATATTACATTTTATTCTTTTAATTTTAATAAAAACCATCCAAGTCTGAGCAAACAATCAGTGCAGATTTATAGGCATAACTATACATCACGTCCTCCTCCTAATTTTATCAGAACTGTTTTCAGTTGAGTCGGCCCAGACTTCTAATTGCATTATATTTTGATTGACATTGCAATAGTGGCCTATTCATCAATGTCAATTCACTTAGTGAGAGATTATGTTCCTCACAGAGGCCGGGGGAACAGGAGAGTACGGAGAAAGGGAGGCGAAGGAGGCGCAGGGAGGAGTTTATATGTTAAAATGTACACAGCTGCGCCAAAAAGTGTTTTCCCCTGAATAATAAAATATATCCTCAAATATCCAGACCGCAGGTCATCGTGTTATTTTACCCTCGGTTTTGTACGATCTGTTGCTCTGCGATCTCTGCTACCTATTTGGAACTAACTCTGCTAATGCTTCGAGCAGCAGAAATCAAGGCTGCGTTGATTTTATTTCCATCAGTGATGTGTTGGCACAGTTGTGTGTAATGATGATGGATGATGGAAATGACATGGGCATCATTCAAATCTTCCACACAGTATAAATTCAGACGCAGCGTCCGACTCCAAATCCCAAGATCTTTCACCCTTAGCGTCTCAAATCATGTTCAGTCCAGCCGTGTGAAATCCTTCAGGGAGTTAAATCACTCAAGTCAACCTGACATGCTACTGGTACAGGAGACCGTGGTGCGAAACTGGATGTGAAGACTGATTTATGTTTGTAAGTACCATAGCAGGAGTGCCGGCCTTTTTTGGCCCGCGGGTCAGGCCAAGTCTAGTCTTTTATCCATGAAGAACAAAATAATTCTCTGGGAAAATTTCAGTGAAAAAAAAAAAAATTTCTGGGGAAAATTTACAGAAAAAAAAAAAAATTTCTGGGGAAAATTTACAGAAAAAAAAAAAAATTTCTGGGGAAAATTTACAGAAAAAAAAAAAAATTTCTGGGGAAAATTTACAGAAAAAAAAAAAAATTCTCAGGGAAAATTTCAGTGAAAAAAAAAAAAATTCTCTGGGAAAATTTCAGTAAAAAAAAAAAAAAAAGACAAAGTTGAATTTAAAAGTTGAATTTATTTTGGCGTTGACCAACTGGAGAATCCAGCAGCATAGACGAATCAGGACACATGGGGAGAATCACTGTTAATGTTGTGTAATGAAAGTGATCATCAAAATTTGACATATGGTTTTGGGTTCAACAATAACTCGTTCGATCAGATGTTATAGCAGTACGAAGTGTTGGCCGACGTTAGACAGGCTAAAATGTGATGTTTTATGGCCGTGTTTTTTTATATCAATAACACAATGGAGAATGGATGGAGAATTTAGGGTGAAGTTAATTGGATGCTGTTATTTTTATATTTGTCTGAGTCTTGTTGGTCGTTTGACTATATATGTGGCCCAGAGAGGTATCGCTGACCTGTCCAATATGTATAAAGTATGTTATATGTCTGCTGGGGTAGACATTTCAACTTTGGGCTGAAAAAGATTAGACCAAGGGTATCAAACATACGGGCCGGGGGCCAAAACCGGCCCGCTAGGATGTTCAATCCGGCCCACTTGATGAATTTTGAAAATAAAAAATAATAGTTCAGGATGTATAAAAAATATCATTAAATATGATTAAAAATGTTATATTATGTAACGATTGCACTCGTCCGACCCACTTGACATCTAATAAATAAATGAATACTTCAGTTCGTTATTGGGTCAATTAAACGACATAGCGTGAATGTTGAAGCGGTCCATTGATAGGACTTGCCCTACGTATTTCCCAAAGAGTTATGGTTTCTGCAAAACGTTGCACAGTTTAGACAAAATCATTACATTTATTTGCAAAAATTTAAACCAAAATATTGTGATTTTGCAGTATAATCTCGCAGCACGTCAGTTTATTCCCCGGTGTTGGAGTCTTTATTGGATCTGCTCACAGAGACACTCACACCTTTTGCAAGGATAAGAACTGCAGTGTGTGGCGCAATTTTGTCTCCTTTCATTAGGCAATTACATTATAGAGATGCCAAGTGATTCTGGGAACTCCACCTTCACAGAGAATTATCTGCTGGACTAATCACCTTCTGGTACTTGCTCTTACGTGTCTGCGGTGCTGCATCTTCTTTCCCCTGTCTTTCTCTGTAGTACCAGTGACAGCGCTGACTTTTCTAATCCTTCAGAGTAGTACGGCAGTCACCGAGTTCAAATATGGGGTGTTTTTACTATGCAATGTACAACGTCCTCCTAAGCTTAAAAAACAAACCCCATTTAAATCTTGATAAGGAATAAAACATCTGGTATCTTACGCAAAAACTGGTGTAAACATCAAAGTTACTAATCCAAGTTGAAGACTTTTGAAGCCTCTGTCAGTTTGTCTGGAGAAAGAAAGAATAAAAAAGCATAATTCGGCAACTATATAGTGCTCGTAAAGACTTTGCCATCCAGTGACAAACATTATTTTCCAATTGGTGTCTTGAGTTGCTTTCCAGTCATGGACCTGTGATCATTTTTACCGCAGTAGGTAGTGCAAGTTAGCAAAAAGAAAATCCAAGATATTCACCAGTCAGCTTGTAGCTGTGGTTTAGCGCCGTTTAGCTTCACCGACAGTGTCATTAGAACTTAACATTACGTCCCATTTTACAACACAATTGACCAAATTGAAATATTTTCCTACAATTTCCCCTTAAAAACAATTAGAATATCATTTAACTGTGCTAAGTTAGGCTAATTAGCACTGTAAATTTTTTTTGGGGGGGGGTGGCTTTTCACATCTTAAAAAGGTTAATAAAAATTAGTGAAGATTTGTCAAAGTAAAATGGTAAATTTCATCAGTAATTCTCTTGTATTGAAATCTATAATTGACACTTGTTAGTTTTACTCCCAAATATTTAATACATTTTTGACTGAGAGCAAAGCTAGTCAGAGGTATGACTCTTGTTCATTTTTAAAGGTTAATACAGACCTCATCTACACAAACTGTTGATCAAAGGTTTGATTTGTTTTCCTTAACTAGATGATCAAATATTAAATGTGTTGCGTGCTGCTCAGTGAAGACCAACCTGTATAGTCTATTCCAAAAGTCCATGTCTGCTAATACAAAGCAGGTGAGAATTTCCCTGAATTTGAGTTCACACATTTAAATTCTTCCACATGTTGGAATCACATGGTTAATTGTAACCCAAGTAGTTTTGAATTCCACTCTTTTCAGGCAAATGTGGTTATCATTTAACACAAAACTAACCCTCCCAGAATTTTATCTGCTTAGAAGCATGCTTCTGAGTACAGTTTGATTCTCAGTAACACCCCACTGCATGTTAATGTTCCGAATACATTCTTGTCCAGACTTAAAGTGTGTACAATCCTGGCAAATCAAACCCAGTGGTTTCTAAGCAAAACAAATCATTTTTCTTTAAAACAGTTTCCAAACACTTTTGCATTAGGAGCAGGCCGTAAAAAGTCATTATTTCTTAGTGTTACTGCAGTGAACATGGTAAGGAAGGAAATCAAGCCCCCAACCCTAAGGAACACTTAGAGGTTCTGAGAGTACTTTGATCTGACATATATATATATATATATATATNTATATGACATCATTTTATTCACTTATTAAACACATTTCTATTCACACATTATTACATTTTTTAATTTACATTTTTACATTTTGCCACATTTCTTCCATGCAGACTCTGTAAACAGTCGGCTATCTTGAACCCACCTAGACGTCTGTTCGTTAACGGCAGGGCTCTCACGTGTGATGCATATGTGTCTTGTTAAATATCCAAATGTGAATGGCTTGTTTATTTTGAGAGAACCTGATACTGTTTTGCAGTATCTCATAATAAGAAAAAGATGAAACGAAGGAGTTCAGGGGGAAAAGGAGAAAAGTTTAGGACGCAGGGATAGGTAGTGCTAACTGAGTTCTGCTTGTGTGGCCTCACAATTTGGCCACTTTCTAAAAAGACGTGTGTAATTATAGTCACCCAAAATCAGGGGTAGATTGTAATTCAGGGTTAAAAAACACAGGTTTCCCTTTTTGTTCTGTGGAGGAAAAGTCAGAATGATTGAGCTCTCGCAGCTTTGTTGTGAGTCTGCTTGGCAACACGTTGGACTCCAGCATTCCCCTCGCATTACATGATGCTATTTAATGGACGAGGATGAAAACAGTTGAAGTTATGATGGAGTAGCTCCCCATTAGGGTCTCATCTTTGCAAACGCCGAGCCACAAGCCAAGTAATTTACAGGAAAATCAGAACTATTTATAATTCCAAGTTGACCTTAGGTCTGGTCGGGGGGAAAAAGAGGTTGTTATTGTTCCATTTTGGAAAAATCCTATGTTGTTCATTCCAGATAATAATAGTAGTAACTCTTTTTTTTATAGCAAGTCTATCTCACTGTAGCTTTAGAGCTACATTTACTAGGGATGGCTAGTAGGGATATCCAATATCAACACACAAAGTCGAGGCCGCAACTTGGAGTATCTGCTATTACCGATATCAATCTGCAACGTTCTTTTCTACCTCAGCATGCCGCGGTCGCTGAGGAGAAAGTTTCCCCTGTTTACGGCAAACTTGGTTGAGCATTTGGACTGAGTTAACTCAGTGAACGCCTACAGTTGTTTTTTTCAATGTCTGATCCTAAAATTTTGACCAATATAGGACCAAAACTGATCCTGCGTATCGGACAAGCTTTCCCCAACATTTACACATGTAACATCGTGATAAAGATCAAAACAAACAAATAGTTTTTTCCTTATCTAGGATTACCACTTCTACTTATATGGGAATGTACAGGATTATAATCTGTGATATCAGGTCCGTTGTTTTGCTGCAGACTTTAGCCCTCTTTCCTCTGCCGTAGCACAGCGGTTAGCATTGTTGGGTTTGACTCCTGGCCTCCTGGCCTGAGTCCCTGCTTGTGGATTTTGCATGTTCTCCCCATGTGTGGATTTCCTCTGGGTTCTCCAGTTTCCTCCTGCCTTCCAAAAACATGTAAGGCCTCCGTTGCACAGAACGCACTTTGTAGACTGGAATATTTACAGCAGTCTTACACAAGAACAAACACAGCAAACGTTTGTTTTTGCTGCGGACAGGCCACTGCAGGGCAAACACTGTCAATCAGAGGTAGCGCAGCGTTTGATATCTTACCATTTTTGAAAAAGGCCCTCATTTTATTTTTGAGAGACAGCGATACTCCATCTTTGCTTGGCTCTATTTATCTGTAGAGCGCAGTAGTGACATTTCAAAAATGTAACTCCTCAATAATCGCTTCCTTTTTCTCAGTATCACAACATCTCAGAAACAAAAACAAAAGAAAGTAAATGAGGAAACCACAGTGAATCGTAGTCCAGCTGTAGAAGATTTCCTTGCACCGTGTGTTTCTCAGAATGTGCTCAGCATTTGTTCTGAGTTTGTAGTTGTTGATATCAGATGCCTGAGTGGCATGAATTGATCCTACAAATGCTATCACCAGTTATTTGAGCTTCTCAGTAGCCTGTGGGTCTTAACTCACTTACAGTAAGCTCAGCTCATTCCTACACTGTACCCGGAGCAAATGTAGCTGTAGCATTTTGATGTTTTTGTTGTTTACTTACTGCACACACCTTGATATTTCACCCTCCCCCCAGTCGGACTCTATGGTGACTATAACCTGTGCCAATGGGAAGTGGAACAAGCAGGTGTCCTGTGAGCCCGTGGACTGTGGTCTTCCCGACAAGTACCATGTTCACCCTGCTGTTTTCAACTTCTCTGAGGGCACAACCTACGGCAAGAGGTGCACCTTTCGGTGTCGTGATCCGGCCCAACTTGTAGGTGAGATGCGCGCATACAGGCTTCTGTAGTGAAACCCAGATTCCATCAGTGTAGAAACAGGCTTCGATACAATACTGATTGGCTTTTTTTTTTGCGATAGCGGTACTTTGTGTAATTTTTTTTAACCCAATAAAACACAACACACATACTGGTCATTGAACACCTTTAATATGTACCTACAATAATAAAAGCAATTTCCCTGCTTAAATAAAGGTTGACACATAAATAAATAAATACTCAGATAATTTACGAACCTCTTAGAAAGTTACTTCTTTGACCTCTGGGGTCCTCGTTGGAGTGTGTTTAGGTCGATGTGTTGGTTGACTCTTTGATTGAATCTTTAATTAAATCACTTTAATTCCATATCAGGTACCAACAACAGTCTGACCTGCCTTGAAGACGGCCTGTGGTCTTTCCCTGAGGCCCTGTGTGAACTTCGCTGCCCGGCCCCTCCTCCTGTCCCTAATGCTGTGCTGCAAACCAAGCGTTGCAATGAGACGGGCCTCAAAGTTGGAACCTTCTGCAAATACAAGTGCAAGCCAGGCTACCATGTTACCAACAAACCCAAGAGGTGATGAAAGAAAAATCCTAAATATTTGTCAGACCTACCTGATACTTCATGCAAATGTACCGAGAATAAACCAAATGTTTTTCCATATAGACGTGCATTCAAGCGACAGTGCACGGAGGATGGAAGCTGGCTTGAAGGGGCGTGCGAACCAGTGACTTGTGACCCCCCACCTCCAGTCTTCCATGGCTCTTACCACTGTACAGATGGCTTCCACTTTGACAGCGTCTGCAGACTCAACTGCTCTGAACCGGCTGGTAATTTCCCCGCCAAAGGAGGCTCTGCCCATACGGTGAGGCTGCTGCACGGTCCATGCAAGCAGGTCTGTCCATCTCTTTCCTCTCTTTTCTTTTCTTTTCTTGCCTTACTTAGACATTTATCCTCTTTCTTGTGTTGGCTAAAAAAAATCAGACAATCTCTCCCTTCTTTTTTTTCCCCCTTTTGAATTTGGTTAAAAACTGTGGAAATGAACAAGTTCTATCTGATTCTCCTTACGCGGCCCTCACTGTCAGAACACTTGTCTCTCTGTGCCCGTTTCACTCTCTGTCTCCCTTAGCCCTACTCAATTTGACGCCATGCTAATTAGATTGCTATTGATTTCCAGAAGAGTCCTGCTTCAACAGACGTTTGAAATGTATACACCTTTTAATCCCTGCTGCCTCTGTGGCATTGTGGGTCAGATATCTAATAAAAATTGGATCATGTTTCCCCCTCTGCAACGGGATGCCATCTCTGTGTCCTTGATTTGCCAGTGTTTGTGCATTAATATGTGTATCTGTGTGTGTGTGTGTGTGTGTGTGTAACTGTTTGTTTGTGGATTAGTTATTTTCAGGGAGCATTGTCCAATGTAATCCGCTGTAGAAAGGATGGCAACTGGACGGGGTCATTCCGCCTGTGTCCACACAGCAAAGGCCAGTGTTCTTTACCTCAAAACCTCCAGTACAGCCTACAGTACTTATGCAAGCGGGGACACGGCATAGGTGTGTGTGCACAAATTTACTGTTATATAATGACAATTTACTTTTATTATTACGGATGTTATTGCATTGTTGGCAGTAAACTCCCCTTTTGTTGAGCGTGCTGTTGTTGCTCACTGTTGGCATCACTCCTCTCACTCCCACCTTGTAATGTTTACAGCCACTCTCTGCAGGCGAATTGAACGCTGTACGCACATTAATAATACATGATTTGAAAGTGAGCGGTGGAAAAGGGCAGGGCTGTGTTTGAATGAAAGGTCATTGACCAGTTGTTTACACATATTCCCATTGTTCCCCCGTGTGTGACTCCTCCTTGTTCATACACTCACACAGGTGAGGAGTGTGAGCTGAGCTGCAGGGAGAGTAACAGCGACGTGGTGATCCTGCCTAGCAACATGACAGTTGAAAATGTTCTCAAAGAGCACTGGCGGAACCCGCACAAAGTCAAGGTAGGTTTTTATCCGTGTGTTTGTGTCAGCCTCACGGCTCTGACAGACGCACTTCACAAAGTTCCGTGATCCACATCTCTCTGGTATTGAATTTCACATGTAACGTCCACATCCTGGTTTCTCTGACAAACAATACAACAAGTTCAGGTCAACTTTTCCAGGCTGCTTCTTCGGGCCCGGTGCTGTTTGTGTTAGCATCATGGCAACATTTTAAAATTCTCCCTTCAAAATAACCTAAAAGAAAAACAACAAAAACAGGGGCTTTGGCCCCAACTGAACTCTGATTGCCCCCCTGAAATGCCCCTACCTGTCACTCATCTGTTCTTTCACCTTACCAAAAGTTAGTTAGATGGATGGATAAACCCTGAAGTAAATTCAAGATGACTGTTGTCAAATATTTAGCCCCTCTATGAGTACTGTGACCCCTACTCAGAAAAACTCTGTGATCCACCACTGATTCAGGTCATACTGACATAGGGTCATACTGCAACTGCCGAAAAGTCATGTCCGGTCAAGTCAGTTTTATTGGCACAGCCCAAATTGACAAAACCCATTTTGCCTCAATTGACTTTTCAGTGACACATGAAGGATACAAACAGAGCAGAGCTGGTTATTTAAAAGGAGCAGTACACCTCCTCGTCATTTTTTGCTTGTAGAGCCTCTTAGTTGAGGTTCTTCTTGAAGTAGTATGCTGGACTCTTCATTCCCGCCACACTATCTTGACAAATGTGACCGACGCCCAGATTGTTGTAAGTGTTTTCATCAGCTCTGTGCCCGTTTTTAGTTGCAGTGAGCGGAGGATCTCGCCAAGTTGCATCAGGTTTTGAAACTGAAGTAGACAAAGAAGAGAACACATTGTATTCTTCCCTACAACTCCCTTTGTTTTTGTTTCAGTGTCACACTGAGTCAGCAGCTTTTTCCGTGGCTGATGCTGGCAGAGAGCGGGGGGGTGGAAGGGTTCTGGCCACACGGACATGAAATGATCTGTTTTTCATGGATTAGAGTAATTGATATGATTTTTGCTCGGTGGTCATTCGAGACGCGCGGCGATGCTGCTGGGATTTATGGCACAGGAGGAGTCGAAGAAGTGAGTGTGCTGTTTCAGACATGATGCGCCGGGCCAGGAGACTTTGCAGATTGTGTGCACATCCTGTGTGCAGAAATGACGTAATGAACACAGGACAGGAACCAGGAACCGATATAATACCGATACATAACCGATATATAATTTCATTTTATCCATATTTAAACCTATTTCACTGAGATACGCGATAGTTCATTTTTATTTATTCCACTGTAAAAATAAAGGCCTGAGCAGTAATGCTGTAATGGAACGGCCGCAGTGACATCTGGAGAGCGTTCAGGTGAATTAGACGCCATTATTTACCTCCATATTCCAATCAAAGATGGGAATTCTTTGTGTCCCGTTCCGAGGAGAAACCTGCCCTGAAATGTGTTTTCTAATTCTACTTTGTTGAGTTTCAGGTGAATGTCGTCCACCTATACAAATGATGTTGATATATTACCTTTAAACTGGTTTTATTTAGGTTCTCAGTCTGACCCACTTAGAATATACTTCTGCTTTTCTACCTTCTCCCATTCTTTTTTTGTGTCCCTCTATATCTAACCGTTCTGCACCCCAGCACCCCTCCTCCCCCTTTATCAGCAAAATTACCCTGTCGGGCCCGCTGTGGAATTAGTCATTTTCTATATGACATGACCTCGTCTGTAGTGGCGCAGAGATGGGAATCTATTTTTATGTGGTATCAGCGCCCCGAGAAAGCTTCAGAGGGTGAGGATCCCATACGTAGTGAGGGGTGAAGCCAGGCCACAATCATGGATTATCATGATTTACAGCCTTGCAGTGAGTGGGGGGAAGAGTGAGAAAATGAGAGGGAGGGGAAGGGAAGGAGTTTCTGGATGACATCATCATAGCAGAACACTGTAAAAGTACAGTAGTTGCAGAAAGTTTCACCTCTGAGACTGAAACATCTACTTTATCTGCTGCCACACGAGGATGTGCAGTCAGACTGTTGAACACACACACACACACACAATCACACGCACACACACGCACACAGTACAGATGTGTCAGCATTGTCTGTGCAGAGATTCAGTTGTAGAACCGTTACCACTACATTCTTCAGCCTCCTTTAGAATCAACAATTAAAATGTCCTCAGTTTATGGCAATAAAAGAAAATTTATATAGATTTCTAAATTATTAGTGTGTATTGTAGGGCCTAGAAAAAATATATTAAAAGTATATATATACATATATACTCTATATATAGCTCCACAAACATACAAGTCTATTACTCTCCGATCTGCTTACCTTCCTTCAGCACAAATGTTTTCTGTTACATTACTACAAAAACACTCCAGGAGAAGAGGATACGATTCCAAACATTCTGCAGAAATACTTGAACACCCAGTGCTGTTTGGCTCTGCTGTCTCCTGCTGAGGCCGTGACTTCAGAATCAGACTTGTAGGCAGATGCCATCAAGTCCTGGCAGCTGACGAACCCCAGTCTTTTTCTAATGCAAGCGCTAAAGTTCAAAGACCATGCACATTCAGCAGTGGTTTCTGTCCTCAGTCTTAATGCAAATGGGTATCTTTCTAACCATTTTAATAAGGTGAAATAACGAATTGCATTTTTTTTATTTTTGCATTTCTGCAACATATTATTTGATCATTTTCACATTCACCAACTTGACTGACACTTTGTTTTTATTCATGCTCCATGTTGACATAAATGCAATCTGACCAGGTCAGAAGGAAACATTTAATAACCATATGTTTATGATGTATTGTTTTGCAGAGTATAGTGTGTACAATGGCAATGAAGTGGTATCCACACCCTGAGTTGCTCCACTGTATCAAAGGATGTGAGGTAAGAGTGTTCTCTGTGACATGTCTTGTTATTTATTGCATTTGGCAAATCATTGAGCTCACGATATCTGCCCAACTCTACTCTGGTAATGCTGATTCACTCTTACTTATTGCCTTTATTCTCAGCCTTGTTAGAGTCCATAATCACTTTTGTCCCGTGAGTCGACTTTTTGTCTTAAACCTTTTGCTTTTTTCCTTTTTCCTGAAAATCTTGAAATATGACTCAGCCAAATATGTTACAAGGCTAATGATGTGTAAAACAGTACTGCAGGGCTGTGGCTTTATTTACATTAAATACTTTAGAGAAGACACGTTAAAAAGAATGCTTTTTCTATCATTCTGCCTCTCTTTGGGTTCGTACATTTTTATTTTATTTTTTTATTTTGTAATGAACGTACTTCTACTAACACTCCTCAAAGTTTCTTGTCATAAATGATATCATTCCATCCGTTCAGGCCAACCCTACCATCTGATGGTTAAGTGATCCGATAGGCTGATCCAACCAAATGAACGCTCCTATTGGAGCCATTTTTCGGCTGATAGTTTATGATGTCTCTGGTTTGAATTATGGGTCTGACCTTGCAAGACGTCAAAATGTCACAACGAAAAGGAAATTTGATGAATCTGATTCATTAGAACTACATGTAGTGCTTGCAAATTCCTATTATTATGACTACAACCGATATGTTTTATGTTAGGTAGCAGTAGAAGAGTCAATTTGCCTCACATGCCCTCTCCTATCTACAGCCATTCATGGGAGACAACTACTGTGATTCGCTCAACAACAGAGCCTTCTGTAACTACGATGGAGGAGACTGCTGCCAATCCACTGTCAAGACCAAGAAGGTACGTGGCACCTCTGTGTCTCACGATCGCAGGCGCTCTTCCAAACACCTGCTTCCATTGATCACGGTCCATTTTTGTCCCCCACATCTGGAGTCACAAAGAGTTTATGATTAAATCTCATCCTGCACACATGTGGATGTTTTTCTCTTTTCCTCCGCAGCTTGAGAGTTGCACCTTTTACCTTAGGAAGGTTTTATCAAACACAAGAATATACTGTTTTATTTCACTCCTTGGAACATCTCTAAACAGATTCTTTCATTTCTCTGCTTGACATCCAACCTTGTGTCACTGGTAGACAGATTACTGGTTCCAGGTCCAAGAAAGTAGGCGTCTTGAGTCTTCATCAATAGTCGCTTTCCCTTGGTATGTTTAATATATATGTGGATTTTTTTAACATTTATTTAAGCATGTCTAAATAAACATTAATGACTTAATGGCTTTTTTTTAACGTATGTCATGACCTAGGAGTGTTGGGGTCTTGTGCTCATTTTGAGTCACAGTTGAGTGTTAAGATGTGGAATTCATCAGGCTTTGGTCTCCGCTGGACAGGCGGAACTTTTAATTCTAGAAGGTGCTTGGTCTGGTTTACTCTTTGCAGCTGCTGGCAGCGGAGATCTGATTCGGAGTGAGTTATAGGTTCTGCTCTTTGGCATCTGCTTTTTTGGCATATTGCATGTGCAGATTTAATAGGATTACTTATACCTCTGCAGTTATCACAAATTACAAGATGTCTGGCAAATGCTATCCTCACAGATTAAGACAAATGAGGTCAAATGGATTAGAAAATCAGGACCATAGTTCCAGTGATTTGTTTTTTTTTAAAGCTTGTTCAGAACTTTATTGTAAGATCAAAAGGCTTGTCTCCCTTGTTAAATAGCTGCGGCGGAGTCAGTGAGTGTTCGAGTGGGAAGTGTTTTCATTGCCCTTGATTGACGTTATCTCATCACTACATCTTCTGGTCCCCACTCAGTGCGCAGGCTCAGCCAGATCTTGCGTAACTAACTTTTACTCAAAGATCCCAAAGGGAGGATAGACGGTTGAGTTACCACGACAACCAGAGGTCGAGCTAATTGAGAGGTGAGCAGGTCAATGTTAGAGTCTGAGGTTGTGATGTCGTACTTCAACTTGAACTTGCTCGAACGTGTATAAATGCAATGTGTTTTTTTCTCGTCCATGGTTTGGGTAAGGCAAGAGCACCAACCACTCCCCCACTGTATGACCTGAGATCAGATTAATTAAAAACTTGTTTTTTCTTGAGGACCCATATTTTAAAAGTCACAAACCTTTGCGACCCAAGTCAACAGACGTTATTCGTAAACTCCTGGAGAACATGATATGTGAGACGGCCCAAAAATTATTTTTTTTTGCGACCCACCTAAGGGTTGCGAACCCGTTTTTGGGAAACAATGGTATAGAAACATGGTAAAGTTCTCCAATTATCTGATCAGCTACTGCACATTAACCGGCATTAAAATAAATCTGCAGATATTGCGAAATATCTTTCCGGGCTGCTCAGAGAGCGCTGCGGCCCCCTTCCTTCCAAGACGGTTGCTTTTAAATCGATGTCTGCTCATGGCTTGTAAGCTACAGTCAAAGTTTATTTGTTCTGTCTCGCGTTGCCCTGCTGAGGATCAGCCTGCCAGCTGCTGTCAATCACACTGCGATACAGAGAGGAAAAGGAGTAGATCTGGTTATTACCCAAATAAGCCTTTTCTTCTTTAAAAGTAAGGAAAAGTGTTGATAATACATATAGAATAACATTGACTTTATTTGTGATGACCAAACCAGGCTGCCTCAACAATCTCTAAATTGAAGGCATTTGGCTCTGGATTCGTTGAAAAAAAAAAAATAGTCTGGCTGGTGTTTTCCACCGGTGGGTCTCTCAGAAAGATACAAGGTGGAATTTCTACTGAAATAACCAGTTATAATGCAGTTTATCAGCTGCAAACAGCCAGGAAGGTTGTTGTTGTGGGTGAACAACAAAAAGGAAACACAAAGGCATGAAGCTGATATATGATATTGATACTGCAGCAGAAGAAAGCCAGATGTTTGATATAATCCCCTTTATTCCTATTCCATGGCCTAATTGACGCTGCTGACTGACATGCACATGTTGTTACTGCCACGGCCAAGTCTCAACGTTACTTTTAAGTCAAGTTCCATTTCCTGACAACCTAATGGGGATACTTTGATATTTTCATGTCCACGTTTAATTTCCCAGCATGTTGGTACTCGTGTTTAGTTAGGTGTTAAGATTTGGTTGTTTATTTCTCCCGGCCCAAGCCTCTTTTTGATCAAATCTGTCAAAACAGAAACAGGATATTTTGCACCTGATTCTGATTTTCCCCCAAACTAAACACATGCGTGGCAGGCAACGAAGGATGCAGATGCATAAAAGCTCTTTAAAAACAAATGGAAAAAAGACACAATATATGGCAGAACGAATCTGTAACATGTTACTCTGGGCTGCTGAGTGATTGGCTCGCCGGGCGACAAAGACAGGCAGTTTTCCTTTTTAGCGGGAAATCAATGTTCTTTTGCCGACCACAAAAGCTGACTTGTATAATCATTCCTGAACATGGTTTTTGTTGTTATAGATTTTCTTCTCTGTCAAAGTGAACATCCTTTGATGTGATGTCTGTATCCACATTTTGACCTTCGTCATCAATCACTTGAGTCAAGCTAAGACTTGGAAACAGAGCAATGAGAAAAAGAAAGGCAAGGGAAGGAGAAAGGGGGTCAAGTCAGTGGTGCAACTGAACAATGGAAACTGTCTTAAAACACCAGGGATGACTGAAACTATAGAAGTATGTTTTAATACATAATACAATATATATCTCTGGAACTGTTCTTTGAACTTCACTCTTCCCCTGTGGAATTTTTAATGGATTTTGTTCCTCGTCATGAAAATAAATCTAAGACAGTCTCAGTTGCTGCCACATTGAAACTAGTGCACTTAGCAAAACCCAATGGCTAACTAAAACTCACCCCGCCGTTCCTTACAAACACCTATACTCACAACATTTTTAACTGTAGACAGATCTGGACTGCAGGCAGGCCGGTCGAGGATGAGGAGCCTTCGTTAACAATGCCAGACAATCATCAAAAATTAAAGGTCGATAAGCAAAACCAAGTTATAACAACAACAAAAAAATCATCAAGCTTTGAAGTTTTATTTCAGTCATCCATCCTTCGGAAAGTGTCCAAGGTCAGTCAGAGGTCAAACTGACCAAACAGATAAGTAGCTCCTCTAACCTCCAGGTTAATTTCCTGGAGACTTAATATAACTCCAACCGTAACGGCAACTTTCTTAACCCCAGCGTAAACTCTTAGCCCTCAACAATGACCCGGAAATCTTACTTTGCGTTTCATGGCGGGGGGGGGGGGGGGGGGGGGGGAGAAGTGCGCACCACTGAGCGAGAAGCTGCCCCTAATTACCTGGTCTGAGTGGTAGCCCTTTAAATATATATATGTAAAAAGTACTTGTGTATTCACTCTCAATGACTATTTAACATTTGGACAAACAGTAGAGCAGCCTCAGCCCTGGTGCCTCAGTCTCAGTGACTCAGTCGCCTTCGCTGCCCTGGACTCAGGACTAAGATAAAGGTAGCGGCACCGTACAAACACACTCAGACACAGATATGATTAATACGCTGCCAACCACTTTTTTTACTTCTTTTCTCGCTGATCTTTAGTAACAGGATAAAGGAAAAAGAACAGGATGAAATAAAATATTACAGCAGACTTTCATTCTCCCTAATCAGTGCGACCATACATCATCACGTCCTTTTTAGATTGTCCAAAGAGTCCAAAGGTTAAAAAAAATAAAAGCTCCTTTGGCTCATTTTTCTTTAACTTTCTTTTTTTTTTAAACTCTAAACCGGTGACGGAGATACAATCACAGATGCATCCATGGAAACGACACACCGGTGTAAATATTTGCTCTAAATGAAATCAGATTTAAAAAAAACCAAACTTGAATTGCTACGTTATGACGTTATGATATTTGTATGATTTGAATTTAATTTTCAAATCATAAATAAAAGAATGCTCCAATAAAAAAAGAAAAAGAAAAAAAAACAGAATCATTTTCAAGGACTCTGGAATTTTATTGTGAGCATAAACAATGACAATAAAGGCCGTTTCGAAATAGTCGTTTTTAGAATGTGATGCAACTTCTTCCAGACACAACATTTGAAAAGGTGTTCCCTTTTTCTCAAAGCTGAAAAGCCATTGTAAGAAATAGGTTATCAATTTTTAAATATTTCCAGACTCTCCACAGGACCAAGGAGGGATGGAAGTCGGTCGCTCATTTACTCGTACTTCCCTTCCCAGTAAAGGCTGCTCTCATCTTTTATTTTGCTAGAGATTTGTGTATTAGGGAGTTCTGGATGTCTTGCTGTGTATTATTTCACCCCAGGAGCTTTGAAGGTGCAAGGACTGGCTACACGTAAGGTCACCACAGGATACCCCCTTAATAGTTGCAAGCTGTTGGCAGGATTTGGGGAGGCAGGGAGGAGATGAGGCGAGAGAATGCCTTGGTAGTCTGTGCAAAAGCACCGTTTTGGTGGGTCTACTTTAGCCCCATTAATCTGGGAGAAATTCCTTTCTGGGATGTTGGAAGCAGTACCAGTATGCAGAGGGCACCAATTATGATTAGTTCCTCAGCTTGGCCTCTTTAAAACAACTATTTCCTAATGTGCTTGCATGTTTTGGTAAAGTCTCGAGCTCACATTCACAATAATCAGTCTGGCAAAAAAGGATTGCGTGTACGTGACTTTCTTATGTGGCACCGTTGATGTTTGTGTCTTAGCTGATGGTCCGTGAAAGCCACCACTGACCTCTGTGTTGGTGACTCATGCCTTCAAAATGAAGTTCTCCAGCATCAAAAAAAGACCTTTTTTTGTAGTTTTTAATTTTTTAAATTTTACTTCAGGTTTTCTACATATTTGCTTTAAAAGAAATTTCATGTAAAAATGGTTGAATTTTACACACTAATGAACAGAGGGGGCAGCAGGGGTATTTACTGTGAACATAGTCTAGTCTTTGGGAGGGGGTTGGGGGTATGTTTTGGTCAAGGCTTTAAGCCCTTTTGCCCTCATATTTGCTGTGTTTCGTTAATTTGCTGCAAATTAGTCGCTGTGAAAAACCATTAATGGCAAAACATCAGTGTGTGTGTGTGTGTAGTTGCAAGTGAGGTTATGGGATACAAAATGCAGAGAGTGAGGGGAAGTGAGGATAAGAGGGGGTTTTCTACACAACTCACTATAGGTAGTTACACACCAGGGGGCAGCGGGCAGTGGAACTCCCCACAGGGTTTAGCAGCTTTAACTGTTTGCTGATGCCAAGTGTTTTCTCTACATTTGCCAAACTGGGTTATGTGTACTTTACTCCTCAGCTGCTTGTTGTCCTTCTTAAACAGATCCTGCCTTGTTTTTTGAGGATTTTTTTTCACACTTTTCTTCCATTCACTCCATTATAATTAAATATCACATTTGATTTTAACAGCTCCAGTAACAACCAGGCAGACTTCTGTTTGTTCTACAGTAGAGGAGAAGTAACTGATAATGAAATGGAACTGTTTATTTTATCAAAGGACATTGAAAATACAAACATTACCTGCTTTTATTTTTCATTAAGGAATAAAAAAAAATAAAGACAAAATGACTTGTATCAAACAGTCTAGGTTTTAACTAGGTGGAAATGTAATGTTGGCGATGGATGTTGGATGTTATTGGTTAGAGAAATAATCTTACAATTGGAAAATCTAAGCTCACCTTTTCTCAGAAACATATCCCAGCTAACGTTATTGCATGAGAGAACAGAAAATCAAATTTCTTGTGTCTCTAAAAAAAAATATAGCGCAATATGAAACTGAAGTTTGGAATCATGGGACATTGGGCTCTTTTGGAGCTCAGGCCTTATTGGCTGTTACTGCAGATCAACGTCTTGTTTTATCAGTTTCCGTGACTTCTTTAACTCCTCCTTTGGCTCTGGGATGTTGGCCAGCAGGGGGCCGCCCACAGGGGCCGCCCAGCCACGCTGATGGTTGATGAAGGTCAAAGGGCGTTGTCTGTTTTGCCAACCATGCCTTTCCCTAAAAGAAATGATCTCAGAGTCATTTAGGCGACATGTTTGGAGATAAAAAGTAAAATGTCCTCACTTTAGATTCGAGATAGATTAGATTAGAGATTCTCAGTGGCTCAAGTTCCGGCTCCAAAGTGTCAACTTTAGAACGGCTGCTCACGCGGCCGACGGCTGTTCCTGCAGCCCGTCTGAGCCTGGGCTTGTAAAGTGGTCGCACGTCGACCTCATTTTCTCTAAGGACCCTGGTCACTGTACACCTGGTGGTCACGTTAGAACAAACACCCCACAGTCCTTAAACCGCCCCCCTCCTCCACACACTCACAACTTCTTTTATACCCCTTTTCAAAGAGCAGCCTGTGTCACTGGTCCTCGCTGAGCAGCACGCTGCCCCCTGTCATTCCACTGAACGTCTGTCTACAAATCCAGGACTGTTTCCTGTGTTTTTGACTGAACCGCCGACTGAAACGTTTTACCTTCCAGGCCGTTAATTTGTCACTTTGAAAGTCAGACTAATTTTACGACACCTTTTGACAGTTTTGTACAATTCAGAAGTAATAAATTGAGCAACCCCCAACCCTCCCCCCCGCCCCTCCCCCACTAGCTTACATCAGAGCAGCAGTAGTTAGCGCTGCAGAGTAAACACACACTGATTGTCTTTCCCTGGATTAGAAGGTGTTTTCTTTAAGTGTCCTCCTGTGATATGGAAGACAATGATTAAATCCCACACCGCTCACTAACAAATACAATCAGTGCACAGCAGGTGGTAGTGTGATGAAATTCAAGCTAAGAAGCAGCGTTCTTGTGCCTGTATACAACTTAAGGTTTAGAAACAGGCAAAAGTATGGCCACAGTTAAAAAAATAAAATTATATATATATACATATATACATATATGTATATATGTAGTATAAAATGTATTATCAACAAAATACATAAATAAATATGTAAAAATGTAAAAGTAAAAGTATATTATTTTGTATTTGTTTTGATATACAATAAACTTTATTTTATTTATTTATTTTCATTCATTCAAATTCATTGTACGTATTTGTGTATAACATAAATATATTTTATTAATATTTCAAGTACATTAACGTATACATAAGTACAAACACATTTTATGTTTATTCATAAGAATATTTATTAGATTATTAAAAAAAACATTTATTATAAAAACATGAAGCTCAGGCCAGAACTCGCTAATTCCAAATATTTTGCTGTTAATGCAGACGTTCGATCAAACGTTATTGAGAAATAGTTCACATTTTCACTGCACTGTTTGTTACAATCCTCCGTGGAGTCGACTTCACAACAGAAGAGACTTCATCACTTCATACTCCTGATTCATGTGATAAAATCCCAGGTCACAAACGCAGACATCCCCTTGGTCTGTTCATGGTCTTCCTTCCATGACTTGCAGCACATGTGTTCCTTGTTTAGATTTGCGAGGGAGGGTGAGGGGGCATGTTCTGTATCCAAACAGCTGAAGATAACGCAGCAGCAGCTGGTGCTGGTGACACTTCTCCAACCACGTCTTGTGACGTTGGACGATTTCAGGCATTTATCTCCAGATTGTGACGTCAAACTCTCAGGGAAAATATTTTTGTATGTAACTTTGGGAGGTTTTCATTTTTAGAAAAATGTGTGAAAAATTATCCCAAATAATTTTCAGCTTTTAAACTCTGAAGTACCTTTTACTATGAGTTACGTCAATTTTTCCGTTGAAAACTTGGTCTTTCTGAAGGGAAGATTAAACAAATACATTATATATATATGTACATATACATACATATATATACATATATACACATGTATATTTATACATATATGTAAATATAATAGTACAATAGTTTAATCATCACCAACAACAATAGTCTATTTGTGCTTTTGTTTGCCAAACAGAATAAAAAAAAAATTCAGACAAAAATGATCATATTAGTTATGAAAGCGCCAAAAAGGTGCTTAGAACTGACCTTTAACATCTAAGGTTTTGTGGGCTATAAGTGGCCCCCTGGGCCGTATGTTTGTTGCAGACAAACCTGTTTTTTTAAAATAAATTTCATCCTGTTCTTCTTCGACAGACACACGTAACGAATGCATCACTGCGTCAATTTTAATTGCTTGTCTCCTCGTCTCCTTCCTCCAGGTGATTCCTTTCCCCATGTCTTGCGACATTCGGGATGAGTGTTCCTGTCGAGACCCCAACGCCATAGAGAACAGAAAGGAGGAACACGCTCACTCCCTGGGGTGACCCACCTGAGCAGGAACCGCCAGTCTACGTCCCAGGAACCTTCGCTTCAACACAACACAACACAGCCAGAGTGGTCGAAGCAGACCCCTTCATCCTCCTCTCGGCCTCCAACTTCCTGCACATGCTGCTTAACAGGCATACCTCTCTATCCATACTGCAACCATAACCAGCTGAAATCGCTCCACCTTTACATCACGGAAAGATCTAGAAATGAGGAAGGGACTCATGAGACTCCGTGGGAAACCCCATTTCTCAGCTCCAAGGAAAGTAACCCTGCAATATCATCCTAAGAACATTTAGCAAAGAACAAAAAAAAAAAATAATAATAATAGTGAATTATATGAAGCATTTTTTTTAAAGATTGATAAAGCAAACGAACAAAAACATGAATAACCAAGCCTATGTAGCATGCCTTATGTTTAGTTTTGTGCTGCAACGACAGTGTATATTTTAGTGACCTCTCTCTTCAATCATCTGAGGCGAGTGACTGAACACACGGCAACTCAAAATGAACAAATCGGGATTTTGTTGTTTTTTTTTTGTTTGTTTTTTTGCCTTTCAAATATGAAAGAAAAACGACAACATTTTGACACTTTAAAGGCCCGTTTGAAGAGAAGATGGGATTTGGCTTTTATCTTTCCTGGTTACTGCACAGTTTGCCTTTCTGTTCGTCTGCGTCCTTTCTAATAGTGTGTGTGATAATGGTCACATGAGTTGAGTAGGTGGGGGGTAACACAGCTATATTCAAAGGCAACGACACTACAGGTAAAAAAAAAAATAATAATAATTATAAAATAAAAGTTTCCATTGCATTCAAACTTAAAAAATTAACATATTAAAAAAAATGTTTTTCAAGGATAATTTTTTAAAAATGTTCAAAATTTTAATCAATTGAGGGAAATTTTGAATTTATTACTTATAATTTAAAAAAGAAAAAAATTGAAATATTTTTTGTATTAGAAACAACAAATTTCATGATCCAAATCTGATTTAAATAATTTATGGGTTTAAAAAAAACATATTTTACTGCACGTTTTATGTCTGTGTAAAGCCTGGGAAAAAATGCCAAAAATGTCTGAAAGAAAATATGTAACGACAACAAGATAACTAGCCCACAATTTGCCAGTAGTGTTCTGCCATGTGTGAGCCGCAGCTTCGGCCCATAAAATACACAAACACGCATGAAGAAACGTCAGCTAATTGTTGACCCACCACACCTCAATTTCCTGTGACCATCTCATACTTCCAGCCTGAAGTCCTGAAGACTAATTAGAACTTTGATATCTTTCTGCTGCGACGTGCCATCATCATGTCATCACATCCACACGTCTCATTGGGGTTTTCCCGCCCTGCTGCTTAAAGAACCATCATTGGTTCACGGTTGCGTGTTAGAACACGTCACCCTCCACTCACAATAACACACATTGACAACATCACGTACGAAAATGGACAGAAATAGTGCAAAACGGTGACCACGCCTCACGAATGTCGTCCTCAACACCTCACTGCGCGTCGCTGTGATTCCGCGTTGGGTTTGAACTTCCTCCCTCACGGTGCTTGATAAGAACATGCTTACCTCAAGTGCTGATCTGAAAATGTTTAAACTGATTTTAAAATGATCCCAGCTGGGTTCAGAATGTAGTCGGTGGCTCTTCTTCTTGGCGCACTGCAGTCACACAGCAGTACGGAAATAAAGGGCTGGACAGAAGCTCCCGATGAGAATGTGTCAAGGTGGAAATAGACACTTAGACACGGACACACACACGACTTTAAACCCCATCCATCCATAAATCGGCCCAAAGCTCTGATGGCAGTTGGCGTGAGTTTAAATTTTCACTTTTTGGCTGCTGAATAGTTCTAGATCATTCTCGGCATCCAGCTTCACACCGAGCAAACCCTTTTTAAGAAATAACACTAAAGTGTGAAGAGAACAAGACAACAGGCAGAAAAAAAGTAAAAAACAAAAGAACAAATTCCACCCAATACTACAAAATACTTTGTTGATGCAAAGAATTTTCTTAATGGTTTTTTTTTTTACTGTCCTACTTCATCGGTGTTTGTATTATTGACCTAAGTTACTGCACTTTTTAGTTGCCAGGTAAGAAGAAAAAATGATACATAGAAATATATATATATATACTGTATATATATATATATATATATCTTTCAAAAATGTTTAGAAGCTGCTATTGTCAGGAGGAAATCTGAACGTAACTGTAAAATATTTGGTCATTTTGTCTCCCTGTGTCGCCATAACAGTTTCTGTCATTTCTGTACTTCGCTCGTCTCATCATCCGTCGGTCAGACCTACAGTCGTTATCCATTCAAAGTTCTTTCGGAAATTGTCACATATTTAGGCCCCGGCGAGATGACGGCTAGTTTTTCATCTGTTTGATACCGATGACGCCCTCTTCCATACATAAATCAGTAACTTGTTTCAAACGTTGCTCCCCAAATCCTCCTGCCCATGCTTTACATTGGCACTGTTGTTAAGCAATACATCCACTAGGGGCAGTGCTCCACTTTGCTGCCTTCAAACTTGCACGTGATCCTTTCTCGACCCAAATGTTTTTTTTTGCGAGTTCGCTATGTCTCTCTGTTCTGTCCTTGTTTTCTTCTCGTCTGTTCCGATTCGGTCCATGGGAGCTAAACTGCTCAACACTGCCCCCATAATTTGGTGTGGTAACTGCGTTGTTTCCAATGTTGGGGGATGCAGCCACAAGCTCTCTGAAAAAGAAGGGAGTTAAAGAAATAAAAAAAACACCCACAGTACAGACAAAGGTATATGTAAATTAGCATAGCATTTAGCATAAATGAGCCCTGCAGGTGAAGGTGTAGCATTTTGAAGAATCCAGAATATCGTAAAGGGAAATCTTACATGAAGGAAATGTCAATTAAAAAGGACTCAAATAGTAAAATTCATAGGAGCTTTAGCTGCGCCATGATGTACTAAATTAGGTACGTAAAAAACACGTCCGGGGGTCGAAAGTCTTCGTGTCGGCACTTAGCATAGGGCATAAAAAAGTGTTACGGGAAGGTGAGGTGTTCATTTTTGAAAAGGACAAAATTTCCTTAAGCTTATGAGAACATTTTCATTTAAAGGAACTTTTGTAAAAAATACTCCCCATCTTCTGAAAAAACATTTAAACAATTGAAAACTATCAAAATGATCACATAAAATATGAGATATCCACACAGAGCTGGTTTTCTTGTGAGTGGGGAGACACACACAGTGATGTGTGACAGGCAGTGTTGTGGTCCATCGCCTGCCATCGAGGTTAGCGGAATGTTCACTCAGCCTTTTGATTAATCTAAAGCCACGCCATCAGCGGATCCGTCCCTTCGTTCATAAAGTCACTTAATAACAACCAAATGTTGCTTCCACATTCTTCGACTAACTTGTTTCCTCCTCGGTCGTCACGTTGTCATCACTCATTATCCAGACACCAAAACAACTCAACGATCCTCACAGAACAAGGCTACAGAATGTGACTGCATGTAAACTTGAAGAGTTTTGTTCCTCGTCTTAGAGAAGGTACCCATAAGCCATAGCTGATCGAGTCTGAGTTTGAGATTGCGCAATGGATGAGGACATGGCCTCTCTACTGTAGTCTTGGCAGGATTCCTTGCTGTACCTCATGCCTGTAATGTTTGCTGCTTCTATATTTTTGGTATTTTAGTGACATGTTTTGCGTCTCATAACAATGGTGTAAATAGTAGAACTATTTATTGAGAGTGTTATACTTTTTTAAGTTATATTTAATGTCCATGTAAGTTATTTTTTTACATTGTTATTCCAAACAGAAACATGGGCGGGGTGTGAGTCAAAGCTGACGGTCTCTGAGATAGAGTTGGATGTTGGAGAGGAGCAGAGAAGAGGGCGCGGAGAAGTGAGGAAGTGATGGGTGGGCTGCTTTTTCTGGCGTGTCCGGCTATTTGTCCAGGTGTGAAAATGTGTACTCACACATACTGCCCCTGGGCCGGGGTGGCCACTGCTGACTGGCAACGAGTGGCGGCCAGTGAGTCAGATTTTCTACATAAGGGTGGCAGCCGTCCCTCTCTGGGACTCCCCTCCACTCCTTCGCTCCCACCTCCACCTCTTCCCTGCTCCTCGACAACACTGCCTCATCTGTCACTGTCAGGTATGCCTGCACGGGGCCGCTGGGGTCAAGCTGGCCCTGTAGAAAAGAGGAAGGATGTTTGCCCAGCTCCAAGAGTGTTTTTGAAGTCGCTGAGGGAACGCAGTTCTTCTCACTGAAACCTCTGCTTATCACGTTCGATATGATTTGTGTCGCGGCCCCTTTTTCTGAGAAAGCTTCCTTTCTAATTTAGCACCAGGTCGTTGTATCGCTCGTCTTTAAAATTGGATAAAAATCTTTGTAGTGTCCGATGCAGTACAAAGGGAACGGCGGTCGGTGGAACGAGCCCTGATGTTTCCGCCTGGATCTTTGTGGAAAAAAAATTTTACTGATGTGCCATCTTGTTGTAAAACAATTTCTTTGTGTATTGTACCACATGAAGTACCTCTCACAGGCCTCTGGTTATAGAATGCTCTACATATATCTGTTTCCTAATCCTTCGATGAATCCTGTCAAAGGTTTAACCTCCTTTTTTCTAAGTGGGAAGTACAAACAAAAGTGTATTTACATATTATGTGGATAACTAGTGGTATTACTGCAACGTTTCGTACCTGATCGCTCAACAAATATATTTTAAGATGTAAATAAAACAAAAGAATATTACATGATGATTGTATTTGCAAACCATATACTAACTGTTTGGGAGTAGCTCTCGGATTGATTTTCATCTTAATTATTATACGAGGATGAACCGTGAATATGTTGTGCATTGTGTCAAAGTATCACCTGCAAGACAGAAAAAAAGCTAAAAAAAAAAAAAATCAAACTATATAAATATAAATATATATATATATACATATATATATATATACCACCTGTGATGCTTTACCACACCACTCGCTGTCACATTTATTTGCTTAAGTACAAGCACTGTCTTAACCATGAGTTTTATACCTTAAAGTCAGAAAATTATTTATTTGTTGTCAAGAAAAGTCATATAAAAAAAATTTGTCAATTTTTTTTTTTTACACATTTTTGTTTGCTGAGAGTTTCACCAATACTGTAAAAGGTTGCCATCAGACCTAGTCGTCTCTCCTCTTCCTCCTCCGACTCCTCCTTCCATCTGATGGCCTCCTCCATCGTTGGTTTCTTTACACAACATGCACTTTTTCTGGCACATATACGACACACCGGACTTTTTATGTTGCAGTTGATGTTTCACTCCGTTTTCCACGGTTACAGTTATATATTTTTTTGGTGCTCTGGTACATGGCAAAACATGTGTACTATATTTTCATAAGGAAGAGTCATAAAGATGAGTATCATGTTCATTTTGCTGTCATTTATTGTGTAGAAATAAAACACTGGTTAAAGTAAACATCAGCCCGAGAGTGGGGTCACTTCTTTGAATGTAAGTCCTGTTTTTGTTTTGTTTTTTTCATATGTGTGAGAAAAGTCACAATTTTATGAGAAATAGTCGAAATTTAATGTGAAAAAGTCGTAATTTCAAGAGAAAAAAGTCGAAATGTCATGAGGAAAAGTCGTAATATTAGTATGAAGGTGTCATCCCACGCCCTGTGTCAGAGTCTCAGGTGAGTATCTAAAGGAAAACCTTGTTTAAACCACTTTTTAACAAATCCTGTTTTTCTTGGTGAATGACAGAAGTTTGATTTCTTTATCACCCAGGTGGTTTTTTTTCCTTCGTACGGACGACCTTTTCAGTCTCCTGATGCTTATTACGATGTGAGGCTGATGAGCAAGAAGACGAAGACTCTCCTTAACGGCAGAAGATTTCTCATCGTGACGCACGCATGATTAATGTTAAGTTCTTTTTCTCATCTCCCTCAAAACACACCTATAATTTTTTATGACTTTATGCTGATATATGAACAGTTTCTTTCTTGTAATGTTACGACTTTTTTTTCTTGTAGTGTTTCAACTGTATTCTCAAATGTGGCTCCTTATACTCCGTCGGAAACCTGCATGTGTGTAAAAAGGTAAATTTTATCATTTTTGATGCTCACTGTCCTTCTGGAAGTCCGGAGTAAACCCTCTTTAAATTTTAAAAACATGGGGCTGAGGTGCCTATAAAAAAGGAACTTATTCTTTAAACCTCCATTGATACATTGGCATTGAAATGTGAGTGCTGTTCCTGGCACACCAATGACGTTAATGGCCTAATTTGTGAGAATGAACATCAAGCTACTGATTTTAAAGTGCAGTTAATGTTGCATGACTGGAAAGAAACTGGATCTGAGCTTAAAGGAATAGTTTGTTGAAGGAGATGGAAAAAGAAAATGCTTCCCAGCAGCTCACATGCAGAGAGGCATGGCCACCTTCACTTAATGATATAAATTAGAGTAATTTATAGGCCATAGCTGTCTGTTAGTTTTAGTGAATGATTTCCCCCTCGTTTTCAGCTCAATGTAAATATTTTCGAGGCGGATTGAGCTGCGCGTCCGGTTAAAACCTGGGAAACGCGGCAGCACCACGGTCTACAGGAGTGGACAGGAAATCTGACCACACACGTGTGATATACATTGTTTCTCATATACAACAATATATATGATATATTGTTTCCTACCAGACATTAATGAGAGCCAGATTTTGTGAATTATTGGTTAATTTAAATTATTCCATTTCTGAAGATTTTCTTGTGTATATATATATATATATATATATATATATATATATATATATATATATACACGTGTATGGGGTGCACTCATTGGCTCTGCACTCAAATACTCTGCTGCATTGTCTGTGCAGAACCACTAAGCTGGGCCTTCCGCATTCATTCACGCCAAGGTACTACTTGCAAAACTAGCTCTTAGCAATTTGACTAATGCCTCAAATTAGTGGTGAGAGTCATTGCGATGCGACAGAAAAATTTCAGTTATGATTCATAAATGTTGAATAATGAAAATGTATTAAATATGAATGAAAGGAACACAACCGCAGTGTTCAGTAGAAAATATAACTTGCACATGCTGCACGGAAAGATTCTTGAAGGTGTTTAGGCGGCATGCCACCTTAAAGATTTTTTAAGGTGGCATGCCACCTTAAAAAATCTTTAAGGTGGCATGGCCAGACAGCTTAAAGAATCTTGAAGAAGTGTCTGGGCATGTATCCTATGCTGTGGTATAATATAATATTTATTAATATATATAAAATAGGTATGTGCTTTAATTGTTATCCTATATATATTTTTGTTTTCATTAGTTTATTAATCAAACAACATATTTTACTTTGTTTAAAATGCAGCATTGATTTGAAATTTTCAGCCATTTTAACAGGAATGAATGGAGAGGGTCTGGAGGATTTGTGGGTGTCCTGACATGTGTTAATGCTTTGAGGCAACAGCATCACATTCTTTGGTTTCTACTGATATGATGTGAACACACCACAATGAGTTGATGATGAGTTCTTCAGATTTACGACGCCTGAAAATCCAACTTTCTAGCACTGACACTTTAAGCCTTTGTAACAATATTAACATGTCTTTAATATTATTTAATAAGCAAATGTGTAATTATGGGATTTAGGATTTCACTCAAAATGCAAACTGCAAAGCTGTGTGTTTTAAAGCAAAAACGATGGGCAACGTGAACCAAGGAAAAATCCACCATGTGGAAAACCATCAACAACATTCAAGAAAATTGGGACGACAACACAATCACTCATAAATACATAAGGAAACAATCTGCAGATGTGGTAAACAATTTTGGAATGAATTATATTTGTGGAGGAATTCAAATTGTTTTGGAATTTGTGATGTTCGAATAGGTTCAGATAAATGTCCCGCAGCTGTTCAAGTGCAAACCTAAATAATTTTGTCATTTTTTTATACAATAATTCCACCGCAGAGCTGAAAGAAAAGTGTTTTTTTCTTCCTGTTCGTATTTACATGTTTTTAATATTTTACATTCTTCAGAAAAAAAACACAATCAAAGCCACATTATACCTGTGTCCATTCTTTTACAATTACAAATTTACAATGTCATAATTTAATATTACAATTGGTACAATATGAGATGAAAATATTTAGACAAAAAGGCATTGTTGATTTTTATTTAAACAACATCCATGGCTTTTTAAATGACATGACACCGGCCTGGAAAACAAAGGTCACAGGTAAAAGTCAGTGATTCTTTCTATTTTAGTGACTGTGGTGGCCCACTGGGGGCGCAAAAGGGGGCCTTGGAAAATTGAAGGAAAAATAATAAAAACATTTTTTTATTATTTAAAAACCATTTTTTCCTGAACTGTACAACACGTTAACGTAATCGTCGGCTTCTCAAGTTTCTGATGGTACCTGAACGCACCTCGTCTGACAGCTGCAACTGCTGCACGACAAAGTCATACTCTGTGTTTCCTGGTGGTTTGCGCCTGTTGTCGAGCTAATCTGCCCCTCAGGTGGGGGTGTAGCTTGTTTGTTTATTATTTTCTTACAATAAACAGATGTAATATTTATTGAATAGTGAATGAAAGTAAAAAAAATAAATTCTTACAGTTAATGATTTTTTTTCCCATTTTTGTAGCATTGTCTATAGGTTTGCAAAGGGGGTTCAGAAGAAAATACATTTAAATTTGTTTTGTTTAAGGAGAGTTCTTTGCATCAATTTTTAAGGAAGTGTAACACTGTCTATTTATTTTTTAAATATTAATTAATATTTAAAAAATTAAATTTTTAAAAAAACTTTAAAATAAAGAATGTATTTATTCCAAAATAAATACATTTTATTATGTTTTTAAATTAAGCACAACACGTTGTAACTGAATGATTTCGGTTCTTAAATTACTACACACTTCTAGTTGTACCTTCTGATTATATTATATTATTCAGGAGTGCAGTAAACGCTACCATCTTATTTAAAGCTGTAATATTTCAAGGTGTGTGAGTGTGTGTGTTTCTGGGGAAACCAGTGGAATTAAATTATTTACTGCACTATATTTATTATAATGTATTTTGCATGATTTAGTGCTAAAAACAGGAAAGAGAAGATGACATCTGACGATTCCTAGACAGAACTTTAAGTCCATGAATAAGTATGAGGTTTGAAAACCACCCACACTCTCTTTGCACATTCCCCTCAGACCTGTTTCCACAAAAAAACATTATATTTTCAACCCGGTCTATTAAATCTATTGTTTCACTACAGAGTTCGTCAGAGACTGTGTCCTGTGGTGTGAACATGAAAACAAGTCCTTTTGTTTTTACTTACTTTCAAAAATGGCTTCAACACGTTAAAGTTCACCTTTTAAATAAAGGTAGTAAAGGCAAATAAGTTACACTATTGATTCTCCACCTTTTTTTTTCTCCTTCTGTTCCAAATAAGCGTTAAAGCACCAGAAAGGAACTACAATAATACATTCAAAGTACTCAAGCCAAGCAGTTTCTCTTGGCCAAATAATTATTTACAAGTTCACACTGTGGTTCGTCATTGATATGTGCAATCACTGGCATATTTGCATTGAACCTCTTTTTTTTTTTTTTTCTTGTCCCATAATAAAAGTAGGCCACACAAAAATATGTTTTTTGGGTAGCATTACCGTGATGTCCAGTGAGTTCTGAGGTTCTTTCTCTGGTTTTCAAAACGCACCAGTCAACTGAGAGACGCTGCGGATCGGGGGGTGGGGGTTTTGTCCAGGGCATCAGACGACACAGCAGTCATTTCCAAACTTCTGTTTCATCGGAGTTTGGTGTTGCTGTATGTGTTGCGCTGTACAGAGATCAGCTTCTCCATGCAGGTGGTGCGACTTTCGTGGAGCGAGCCGTGCCAGATGTTACTGGGAGGTCGCCCCTCCTCGCTCCGACAGAAGACATACGCCATGGTGTCGGTGCGACTCTGGATGTGGGTGCTGCGCAGGAGGGAGCGACAGTAGTGACTTAACTTCTCCACCCGGCGAAGTATCAGGTTTGCTTTTCTGTGAAGGAAAAGTCAAACAAATTAATAGCAGGTAATTCATTTAAATGCTTCACTTCGACTTCTTCCACGCTCGCAGCAAACTTCAACAATAAAACACACTTTGTTATTGTTTACTTAAAATGGTTTTAATTTGTCTGTTGGTTCTGAATCCAGGCTACGCTAGTCCACATGCTGTTCTGACCGGGAAGAGCTGGAATGAGTGAGGAGCTGGAGTGGTGGCTTTGGGACAGAGCAAGTAACATTTTTTTGTTTTTTGGGGGGGTGAGTGGAGGGGGAGCATCACATTGATATCGTCCAGAGTTAAAAATCCACACATTTTAACGCATCACCACTGTATTGGTTGCTACTGATTGTGAACATAAAAATATTTCTGCCCTCAAATCAAAACTGACTGAGTCATGTCAACTAGCGGTGGGTCAATCGGATACTTAGGATTGGTATCAGTTCAGTATTGGTCAAAATTTCATGGTTGAACATTGGGAAAAATAATAACTTTGTCCCGTCCCATCTGTTACCTAAACCCAAATGATCAACCTAATTTGCGTGGCATGGCGTAAACAGGGACACTGTTGCCTTAGCAACGTCAGCCTGCCCCATGCTGGAGGAAGGAGAAAGGTATCAGTATCGTATCGGTATCGGCAGATACAAGTTGCAGTATAGATATCGGACAAGCAAAAGTTGCACCAAGCCATCGCTCATCGATGGGACAGAAACCAGGAACAGAGCATCAAGATACTCTAATACGTAGACCAGAGGAGTCTGTGATCAGAGCGCCATACGCGATTCCAATGTTATTGTAAAACCTCTGCTTCCTTCATTAAAGCCCCTATGAGCTATTATCAGTGTATGTTTAATACAACCTCTCATTAGAAAATTCAAACTGCGACGTCTGGAGACACGTACGTCTGCGGGTCCAGGATCTGGAGCTGCTGTTTATGATGTGCAGCAGCCATATATCAGGTCAATTTGGAAAAGATCAAAATAAAAACATACCTGCAGTGTAAGTATCCAGGCTTGTTAAGCTCATATGGATACTGAAATGAGGAAAACACACAGGGGGAGAGGGAAAAATTCCATTTGTTTTGAAAAAGCAATGTCTGCTGAGCATCAACATCTGTCTTTAGTTAGGCGAGCAGTACAGACATCGTTTTCACTTATTTGCCGAAAAAGGGGGGCATTTCTCATTTCCCTTAAATTCTTATGTCTGACAAAACAGAATTCCACACACATAATGACAGGAGGCTTGCAAGCACGCAACCTAAACACAAATTAAAAACATTAAATGTTGTTCAAAAAACAAGCCTGAATTGTAAAACAATATATTCTATTGGTAAGTCCTTTGAGAATAGTAAAAAAAATCTCAATTTAAACATAATGTAAGAGTATATATTGTTGGTTGACACCAAACACTTCAGGGCAGATAATAGCTATGTTTATGTTGAAGGAAGAAAGAGCATCACAGCACTTCCACAAAACAATACAATTATGAAAGGAGCCAGTGTTCAGCTGAAACAATGCTGGTGGACATTTGCGGGCTCCTGGGATTCTCAGCTCCTGCAGGAGTGCTGACTGCGCTTGTGTTTCACTTGGCCATTCTGTTACCCTTTAAAAAGGTACCACCAATAGAGCCTGCTTGTAAATTACCCCAACGAGGCTCAAACCTGCCAACTTCAGGCAGTAAATAATCCTAGCTCTCTCATCCAAAAGCAACCCCCACCTTTTTGCGAGTGCCCACACACAAACATGTACACAAACACACCACCGTTTGACCACCCAAATCTCCATCCTAGCTCTCTGTAGTCAACCATTGCCTCCTACCTCCCCCCACCTCCACCCTCCCCACCCCTCACATCGCCAATCAAAGAAAATCATAATGTTTTACAGACAAAGGTTAATCCACAAATATCATATTATTTATGGGCCAAAAGAAGTGTTTCCAGGCAGTGGGGCTGAACAAACAAAAACATTGGACGGCAATAAGACAAACCAACACATGAGCTAACCCAGCAGTTGGTTTGTCATGCCCAGATCAACTGTCGTGTCAAACATAAATTTTCAAGTTTAATAGTTTTTTGTTATATAAATGGTTTGTTTCCTTCCCTCGCTGCAGTTTGTTATTCAGTAAACTAACTGAAGCCTCCAATGGTGAGGTAATGTCTGCACACAATACAATGTGTCTGCGGGGGTGTCCCCGTAAAGAGGGTCACCATTGAGGGGACGTCGGGGTGGCACGATGTGGACGCGATGGAACGTTTTTACGAGAAAGAGGAGGAAATGGGAGTTGGAAGCGAAGTTGGTTTAACTTGACTATCAAATTTAGTGTTTGGCTTGGCGGGAAAACACTGTTTCAGCACCACACTGGTAATGTGAGGAGCTACAGTAACTGCAGAGTTTCATGATGACCCAGCTCTCCTGCTTCTCTATATGAAGTGTTTTAAGACGTGGGTAAACTGAAGGGGGGCAGCCCGATACTTAAGCAACACTTTTGTTTGAGGGATGACTTAATGACTGGGGCTTTGCAAAACAAATCCCATTGTTACTCTTTTGCAATATAAAAAAATTTAATATAATTGCGTTACATCATTTGAGAAGATTCATTATGTAGAACATGTATTTTAGGACATAGAATGGATGAGGTTCCACTGTCCATTCACTTGTCACTGCTCTGATACACAGCTGATATGCTATCTATCTTGTTATTTGCACACATTGTGTGAAAACTTTTTTTTCTTTGGTGAACCTTAAAGCTTTTTTCAATGTATAAAGATTAATCATGTTTGATTATGATCGGAATTAGCCATGATTAATTGTGATTAATCCTCAGTTAAACTATGAATTTAAAAATTTGAATCATTTGACAGCCATTTTAAAAATACAAAAATTCGAATAAAAATACTACACTACTAGTCTATAAAGTTCCAAACTGGAGGAAATGACTAAATTCCAAGATGTGAAAGCAACTGATTCTAATAAAATTTATGCGTACATTTTTGTTCTTTTTTTTTTCCTTTGTCTTTAAAAGGAAATAACCTCTGAGGCATTCTCTAAAAGGTCATAGAAAAGCTTTGACATCACTCAAATCTCATCACCTGGGGCCCAGCTCATCCTCACTACGCCAAACAAAGTCTCCAAACTTTTCATAGTGTGAGTTATAGTGGTGTTGGACCCGATAAAGCAGCGGTGGAGAGATCTCCATCAGTGTGTTGTAGGCCATCTGCTGCTCCTTCCCACTGGTGTAGCCATTGTACAGGTTGTAAACTTTGTCTGCTATCTCTGTCAGTAGGCAAAAAACAGAGAGACAGGGAAAGATCAGGACCTGGTAAGTAAAAGTATGAATTAAAATGTTGTCTATTTATTTGTGCATTGTGCAGTTTCTGTTGTTATTATTAGTACCTTGAGTGTTAAGTGGCACTTTAATGCAGTTAAATCACCTATTTGTTGAGGGGTATGGCAAAATAAATGTTCAATTGCTTTTGTTTATATAGTAATTACTCACCTCTGGGCAGTGCAAAGTGCCACTTGGGGTGAACAAGATAAAAATGTTATGGTGGTTTGGAGTGGTTTTTAAGTGTCTTACAATAAATTGTTACATTTACATTACTTTACATTACAGTTTAAAACATTTTTGAAGTTTTTTGCTTTAAATCTTTTGCCAAAAACAAAAAGTTTTCGTGTAATTTTTAGTCAAATTTGATGAGATTTTAATGGAAATTTTTGTAAAATTGTTTTTACAAAAGTTATCTTTTCCTGCATGTTTCTCATAAAATTAGTGCATTTAGAGAACATTTTTTGAAATATTTTGTATTAAATTTCTTGTCAAAATCTGAAGTCATTCATGTCATTTTTAGTCAAATATTGTCAAATTTTGAGGAAAATATTTGTAAAAATGTTTTTCAAAGTTTTATTTTTTCTCGTAAAATTAGGGCATTTAGAGAACATTTTTAGAAATATTTTTGTATAAACTTTTATGTCAAAATATAAATTTTTAGTGTCAATTCCTGTCAAAAACTAAAATTATTTGACAAAAATTGTTGTAAAATTACTTTTAAAAATGTTATCTTTTCCTGCATGTTTCTCAAAAAATTAGGTCATTTAGAGAACATTTTTAGAATTTTTTTTTGATAAAACTTCTCTCAAAATGTGAATTTTCCATGTCATTTTTGTGAAAAAACTAAAAAACGTTGACAAAAATGTTTGTAAATTATTTTGAAAAATGTGATCATTTCCTGCATGTTTTTCATAAAATTAGGACTTTTAGAGAACATTTTTAGAAATATTTTTGTATAAGTCGTTCTGTCAAAATGTGAATTTTTCATGTCATTTTTGGACAAAAACTGAAAACTTTGATGAAAATGTTTTGTAAAATTAGTTTTCAAAATTGTATCTTTGCCTGCTTGTTTCTCATAAAATTAGTGCACCTAGAAAACATTTTTACAAATGTTTCTGTTTATAAGGTGTTGTCAAAATGTCAGTTTTTCATGTCATTTTTGGTCAAAAACTAAGAAACTTTGATGAAAATGTTTTGTAAAATTAGTTTTCAAAATTGTATCTTTGCCTGCTTGTTTCTCATAAAATTAGTGCACCTAGAAAACATTTTTACAAATGTTTCTGTTTATAAGGTGTTGTCAAAATGTCAGTTTTTCATGTCATTTTTGGTCAAAAACTAAGAAACTTTGATGAAAATGTTTTGTAAAATTATTTTTCAAAATTGTATCTCTGCCTACATCGTTTGCATAAAATTAGTGCATGTGAGGAACATTTTTACAAATTTTTCTGTTG